TAGTATCCATTATAACAACAAACAGCCTTAGCCAATAGTGTATTCGGTGTTTAGAAAACTTAAAGCGGACAAAATGACAAATCATTAATAACGTATAGATTATATAAAGTTTTAAAATATCGAATTCGACAGCAAGAACGTGTTAAGAACAATAACAAAAAAGAGGGAACATTTATGACATAATAAACATAATTTTCTCCAATTTTCATGCGCGCCCCTTGTAAAAAAGGTAAGTAATAGCAAATAGAAAAATAATACCATAAAGGCAAGATACATTTGCGTAGTACTAGTATTGGTATTGGTACTAGATGCAGAAAAAAATAAGTGTTGAAGAAACCTCGATTGTAAAAGAAATCACGCACGCATATGGAAAAAAAAGACAATTTCAAAGTCGTAAATTTCACTTTTCACAATTTCACGCAAGAATTCGACTTACCCCTTTTCCACAATACTCGTCTACTCTTTCTTGTTTCGCCTAACAATAAAGCGCGTTAGAGAATACATGCACGCGTAGAATGACAAATAACAAAAGAACTTTTCCACCTCGATCGTATATTAATTTCTGATAACTGAAGGTTATCGAATCGTCGTTGCATCAAATATTTACGCAGGTTACTCTTTTTCGCCGTTATAAAGAAGTAACAGTAAAAGCGGAGGGGGAAAAAACCTGACAAGATGCAACACGACCACGAGGATGCTAAAGGACAAGGGTGAAAAAAGAGAGGGCGGATAGCAGAGGCAGAGAGACGCACGAACCTATGGATATTTCGCGGGGGCGCGAAAGAGACGGAGAGTGAGCTGTGGGGGTGTATATTGGGGCTTGTAAATGGGGTGGGGGGGGTTCCACCTCCGGCCGAATCGATCCCACCGCAGTGTAGCACTATAGCAGTCCACGTGCATACATACCATGAACTTCTCTCTCTCTCTCTTTCTCCTTCCTTCCTCCCGTTCTCCACCCCATTCGTTCCTCCACCCTCGTATTTTCTCTCGTACACTCTCCACGCTCTCGTGGCACTACACCGTAACAAACCGACGCAGCTGCACCAGGAGCGCGAGTTCGATCCGACTGCAGCCGGGAAAACGGGGATTCTGGATGCTGAATAAAATTTTCTTTTTAAATGATCGTGATTAATGCGTTGACACTGTTTCTACGGGCACGCGGCGCGGCGGTGGTCGTGAACTTTTACCGGTTCCGTTTCGCGCGAATGTGGGACACACACAGAGCGAGCGCCGCCCGAGCGGATGAAACATAGCCCCCGTGACGTTGATGGATTCGCGAACTGGCATCAAAGGATGCTAAATCTCTATCATCTGCACGAGGGGAAGGGGCGAGGATGATACCCGTCCCGGGACCGTCCGCGAATCCCATCTGGACTCGCTTCTTCGTTTCTCCAAAATTCTGTACGCACCGTTGTTTTTCCAATCGCTCGTTGAAACGTTCCGGACTTATGTCAGAATAGCTGGCTTACACCGCCGACCACGCGCGTTAAGATCTCTCTGTATAAATAGACTAACGTACGAAGAACAAGTCCTAGCTTACAAGTTGTCTAATATTACATTCTCGTACACGTAACATACGCCAAGTCGAGTGGAATCTTACAAATTGCTCCGCTCCAAATTGAAAACTGTACAATCGTAGAAGAGAAAATTACAGAGAAAACGGTTTGTTGTACTATCGAGTAGTTTGTACCGCACTGTACACGAGTGGGACAATCAATTAACGCGGAGACCAAGGAATAAAGATAGACAGGGTGTTATTATAAATCGATAAACGCGGCGCTATGCTATAGTCCTCGTGCGCTGATTGGACATCCTGTACGAGGATTACTGACGCGTTCATTCAATTCCTAGTACGTACTACTCGCGCACAGCCGATGGCCGCAGTCACAGAATGCGTGTATATCGGCGCTGCAAATCGAACGCGTGGGCGGAGGGATGGAGGGAAGGTGGAGGATGGACACGGAGAAAAGGGAGGAGAGGAGAGGTGTGGGAAGATAACGGACATGGAGTATTATTACGTGTGTCGTGGTACACAATCAACACACACATTCCGCTATATAGAGCGCAGGCTGTCCGCGTCGTACCCCACAATTTGTCGATCGGTACACGGCGGTATCGTGAAAATTTGAAAGGATCGCGGGTGAAAGTGCCTTCGGAAAATTTCGACAACCGTCGTTCTCCTTCCTTCCACGGAACGATTACGATCACCATAGCGTAGAAAAAAAGAAAAGACGCAGAAACGTCCTGACCCCGTTTGTTGTTTCTCAGTAACGAGAAAGGAAAAGAAGAAGGCAAAACGAGCCGCGTTTCCACACGAAGGAAGATGAAGTTCTTAAAAAGGAAGAGGATGTTACGTTGGGGTGGCACGCTTTTGATAATGAGACGATAAAGAAGTAAATCGGCGTTTATGAACGCTTAATGCGATAGGGTCCCGGCGTCTTGTATAAATAACGAGTTAACGGCCAGTTATGACTCAAGCTCACGCACAAGTGATCCCTAATTACATCCTCACGTCCATATTTTCCTGTAAAGCCACGCTCTCCCGGCGCGGATTATATGGAACGTTAACACGAGCATAAATACGAAGCTCACACTATGTTAGCCGGTATAGCGGCCATACCCGTCGCTCATTGTACTCGGTTCAATGGACGAGACTATAGGTTTCTCATACCACCGGCGTATGCATCGCGCACACGCGTGTACGTGCATTGGGCCGGCGCGCGTGTTCGCGTTTCTGAGGGCATTATGGCTTATACGGGTCCTTCATTCACAATTAACTATTATGCAATTTACAAATCATATATTTTAACGAGCATCGGGAACAGATGTCAGTGGCTGAGATAACGTTTTGATATCGATCGAAGAAGTTTGTCCAACGAGCGATACAACTGTTATATAATACACTGGTAATATACAAATATATGCAAATAAAATAACTGTCTTCGTTGATGATAGTTCGAGCTGCAGATTAATCTCACATTACATGCGAAAGCAAAGAACATAGGAACTCAACCCATTTAGTGCTAGAGCATTGTACAGATAATCTTGTAATCAAATAACATAATTAATTTGCTCATTGAACATTCAGAAAGGGAAATACACGTGTAAAAATGAACGCATAATCTTAAAAACTTGGTAACTTGAAACACTCAAAAAAATTAATATTACACGAAACATTGTAAACTATTATCATTGTTCTATTAATATTACACACTAAACTATAGGAAAAGCAATAAGGCGCAGAAAGACCGCCTATTTGGTAACTTGAAACACTCAAAAAAATTAATATTACACGAAACATTGTAAACTATTGTCATTGTTCTATTAATATTACACTCGAAAGCAACACTAAACTATAGGAAAAGCAATAAGGCGCAGAAAGACCGCCTATTTGGTAACTTCAAACACTCAAAAAAATTAATATTACACGAAACATTGTAAACTATTGTCATTGTTCTATTAATATTACACTCGAAAGCAACACTAAACTATAGGAAAAGCAATAAGGCGCAGAAAGACCGCCTATTTGGTAACTTCAAACACTCAAAAAAATTAATATTACACGAAACATTGTAAACTATTGTCATTGTTCTATTAATATTACACTCGAAAGCAACACTAAACTATAGGAAAATAAGGCGCAGAAAGACCGATTCGTAGCCGATTTATAGAAAAGAGGGAGAAAGGGAATTGAAAAAAAGGAGCCAAACCAAACCGAGCGAAAACCGCTGAACCGTGTATCAGAGACAGATATTGCAAGGTGATCGAATCATCCATCGACCGATGCACCCTGTGTGTCACGCGCGCGCGTGCATGTGTGGGTGTGGAGCGTGGGCGGTGGACGCGTGCATGCACGAAGATGCACGCGCGTGCATCGTCGGTGGACGTGGGTGTGCAAATGCTCGGCAGACCGAGGCAGAGAACCCAGAGAAGAGATGCCTACCTAGGCCTGACCGGAAGACATTAGACAGGGAGAAAAACCATACACGTTACCTTTATTCGTTAACCTGTTCGCGGAAGAGATGGCTCACTCTACCTGTTACGATCGATTGTTTTGTCGCACTTGTTGACCAGGCGGGCAACAGTCATTTTAAAGCTGTTGCAACCGCGTAATCGTTTCTTGTACAGAAAATGGAAATTCCATTATTTCTCAAGTGACATGCTAGCGTTTGTTTCAGTGAAAACTTGTGTCTTTGAAAACACGAGTTGGCTGCGTCGAGGCTGAGGGGATCAATTAAAATTATTTTAAAAAATCAAGGTACCGAAGGTACCGATCGAGACCATAATCGCATAATATATATTCGTATTTGAAGTGTCACAGTCTGCAACCAATTAATTTTCAATCAACGACAAGCAAATTCGATTGTTTTGTTACGAGACAAATCTACGACGAAATCTTGACCCGGGAGTGTCTAGCTCGAGAAAGTGGTTCTCTGTAATTGGTTAAATCTACAAATAAAAGAGAAACTATAACTGCTGTGAAATGTAGCGTCCAAGGAAAGCGCACGAGAGAAACTATTAGCAACGTTGGAAATATCATTCATCATCAATTTGTCACGAAATCAACCAGTATCTTTTAGAAATAATCAACGTTCACTCGTCTAATGTTTTTTTTCTTTTTTTATCGTCAGACACTGTGCAGCGTGTCAGGCCGAAAGAAGAAGCAGAAGAAGAAGAAGAAGAGCAAGAAACAACATCCCCCGACGAAAGAGAGCCAGTCCATGAAATGAACTTCTGGTTAACGGGACCGTACTGGCGAGGTCAATCCAGTCTACCTCGCAGACGTCCCTCGTTTACCTCTTTCCTTTCTTAAACAGACTCTGTTCTTTCGGCTTATCTGACGCAATTCGCCGTTGTCTCTGTACCTTCTCAGACTTCCAATGATTACGTGTATCTTGGCATCGATCGTTTGGCAAATCGAGAGTTCCAGACGCTCGAATTTAAAAAAAAAAAAAAAAAAGCTGAGCAAGAAATAATTCGATTTTTAACCGCTTGCGCTGATTGCGGACCATAACGAGTGACCAAATCGTATACAATAACTCGCCGCTTTCTTTTTCCTTTGAACTCGTCGGTATGACATCACTGGATTAAATTTATTGAGAAGTAATAAATTTAATTTGTTTTGCCTGAGTTATATACTTAAATATACCTTAAAAATAAAATATTCTCGACATGCGTGGCATGTCGTTCCAACGCAAGAAATCAAGATTACTCCGTCCGTTACTTTATAATAATTGTACGTTTTGTTAACATACAAATAACATGGAACTAGGGACAGAATTTCTTTGGTCGTTTAAGAAGAGTGAAACGTGTCGTTCTCATAAAAATATTTCTTCCTTGAGAGAAGGCACGCGTGGCACAGTCACGCAGAAATAACTATCTTCCATATCCATTTGCTCGTCAATGCTTCACCCGTGTCGATCGTCCCTCGAGGGTCTTCTTCAGGGTTGAAGCCGCTCGCAAGATTTCCGATATCTGTCAGGCTTACATAAAATCGAACAAAACAGCCGGGGAGCCGACGTAGAGCTTTTGTTGTTCGATAAAAACTTTGCCTCACGATTGAAACACGCGACCGTGGTTTCTTTCTTAATTAGACTGTCATTCGAACTGGTCTCCATTCCATGTTTATTAATTGCGAGCATGCTAGCAAATCATAGTATTTCTTTTTAATTAGTTTATGCCAGATTTTGGTCATTCCATGTTTATTAACTGCGAGTATGCTAGCAAATCATAGTATTTCTTTTTAATTAGTTTATGCCAGATTTTGGTCATTAGAGTTCGACCTTGATGATACTGTTCAGAATTCACCGATAGCTTCTCGAGTGAATTAGTAAAATTTATTTCTAACAATACAATAAAGTCTAAGTTCAAAGTCCGATACAGGTTCAATGTTCGTTCGAATCTTCAAAATTTGATTGGAATTCTTCGAATTCTCTCGATTCGTGCACTTTCAAGCCTCCCGTCGTCAGAGGAAAAACGCAAAAATATCTATTCCGTGGGAGGAAATTTGCCAAGCGTTCCAATAAGGAGACGCGGTAGTTTCTTCCAAAAATCGAACGAAACGCCCTGGAAACGTCACGGAGGAACATGAGCTCGTGCTGCGGAAAAATCGTGTCTCTTCGGCCTCGTCTGGCTTGCTCACTCAATTTGTTATTGAAAATTCAGGATGTCGAAATCCTGGCCGAACGCAAGGACTTCCCGGCCATCAGTCATCATTAAAATATTTCGACATGAAACATTTTTAACACTGATGTTTTAAAAAATGAAAATGAAACTAAAGCTGGTCATTTTATTACTCTTAAGATTTTCATCATTCTTGATTTTCTACTACCAGTAGAGCCAATAAACGTATAAAAGTAATAATGTGAGGGACGCATCCCTGAGCAGCAGGCTCATGAAGCAATTGCTATTGAATATTACTTTATGGGACTGGCCGGGCCCAATGGTGCATCTAGGTCAAAAATAACCTACCTTCCGAACCACGTGATCGGAAAGGCCATGGAGAGAATTGGCCCTATATAAGGTCGACATGCTAAAATTAATACGATACAAGAATAGATCAACTCACTAAAAACAATTTACCCAATCAGTACCATCATTTGGGTACCATCAGTACCCAAACTTACTCATTAGAGAACTAATAGTATCAACGAAATTCCTCTGAAAATAAAAACCAAGCCCTCTCTAAACACACACACATACATCAAAAACTCGTCAAGTATAGCAGATTGTTTGAAATTTTTCCCAGTCATCACTTATTACTAAACACCTGACTTGTTACATTTTTATATGCAGATAAAAAAGTTACCTAACCTCGGGGACTGCAATACATAACCCAAGTAAAAAAAAAAAAAATCAATCAGGTCTTAATACATCTGACCCGTACGCTCGCCTACAATTCGCGCAAGTCAAAATTTAATTTTCAATAATTGATTCTTTCGTCGTTCGAAATAATCATCGCAATAATTTCTTTCACATTTTACACGATACGATGACGAAGGAATGTGAAGAGCTTCCTACGGGATAAGAATAAATATTCTAGATTCATGCCCGAGGCATGTTACCGTTTCGCAGAAGAAGTTTCAAGGGAACTGCAATTTTCGTTTTCAATAGCAACGTCCGCGTTTGAAGTGCGGAACGTAAGTACGTTGATCGATATCTGAGAGAAGTTCGTTAAGTCCATTCCTAATTTATATCAGTGCTTAAGAGGGAACACTCTCGAGCCCTAAGGCAACCCCCTCAACCGAAAGTTTACACCGCCGTTGTCTAAATTTTCGACCGTCGCGCGATTCGTTGGATTCGATAAATATCAAGTGCGAGTCGATCGCTAAGTAGATTACCTGGCTCGCGAATTGAGCAACGCCCCCTCCCCCCGTATCAATTTCACGATTCGATTGCTACAAGTGTTTCAAATATACTTCGTTCAATTCTATTAGCCAAAATTAATATTTCTTTGTTCTACAGGGTGTTTCAAGAGAATTGCCCGGAAACTTTAAAGTTGAAGAAGAGAACGATGGTTGGAAGGAAAATTGAATTGAATTTCAGAGAGAGAGTTAAACTTATTGTTTAACTTTATCTTCTGAATGTTTCTCAACTTCAAATATGTGCCAGAATGGAAATGAAACAATTAACTTCGATGGGATTGATTAATTAATGCTTTTTATGGTCGAATTAATCAAAAGTATAAAAAGCAATTACGTTTCTCTGCTCTGTGTAAATTGGACTTTGAAGTACATATTTAACAGAATGAACTGAGAATGTGTGGCGGTGTAATCCACTAGCTAGTTCAATATAAAACAAAAATATTATATTTCTTCAAGATGTTGATGGAACGATTAAAAAGAGGCAAGGCCACGCAGGGTCAATGCAGAGAAATGGAAATCAAAAAACACAACGTATTCCAAAGATCTGACTCAAACTAACATTTACGTCGTCTTATTTTAGACCATCTTCGTTGCCAATCTGCGACAATCGACCGACGATAAATCAGAAACGCAGTTTAAAATAAAATGTCACTAAACGAGACAGAAAATGGCTTTCTCCAGTGCGTCTCACCTCCGAATTGCAGCGTCCTACCACCAAACCCCGTCCCAGTTTCTGGAATCGTCCGGTACATTCGGAAATTCTGCTATTTTCCAAGCGAGAGGTGCTGCCTCTAAAACGCATTCACGATCGATCGACCCGCGTTTCATCGGGCGATCGCAAGATGGGCGTAGAACCGTCTCTTCATGGACCAGAATAGCGTCGGGTCTGACGTCACGTAGACGTAGTAGGACCAAACGACACACAGTTCGGATGACGAACAGTGAAAATATCGTGGCTGCTCGTCAGGCTCGCGTTACACACGCGACATGTGCACATGCATGTGTCGACAATGCACACGTATAACTATATACATACACGCATATATACAAGGTGGCCAGCAGGATGTCGAACTTACAAAAAGATTTAATCAATCGAGAACGAAAAGAAATGACTTTCGTTCGTTAATTCAAGTAACTTAAAATTCGTTTGTAAAAGCAACCTGTTAGTTGCTTGATTCAACAAATTTTTTTCATCATAGCTCGACCACGTTGCATTGAATTCGAGGAGTATAAAACGCTTTATTAATGTTGATGAAGTATAACGTCTCATCGTCCTAAAATTAAAGCGCTTCTGATTATATCTTAGCTTACCTAAATTGTTAGGCAACGCAAGTTATTTTCCAATTGCAAGTATACACAGTATTTTTATCCGACTTTAACCAGAGATCTGAAATAATTAAAATCGGGCAATAGCTTGCCGAGCACCCTGTACGTACATATATACTCGGCTCCGACACTCGTTAGCGTTAGACATTCATAATGACGTCATTCTCGCGGGGCACGCGCTCTGGATGCGCATTCACGGGGCAAAAACCCGGCGGATCCGCCGCCAAAACAAACCAGAAGAACCTTCGCGGTTTGCCGGCCTCTCATTGTTTGCCGTGTTGCTTAATATACTTTATGTTTTATGCAGGACGAGAACCACGCATTTACCGAGAGCTACAGGTTTCAAATACTTCGCTCTGGACTCTCTGAATCAAATTAACGCTAACAACTACCAAGCGATTGACGAAGTTGCAGTTCGTTGTAATTAGTATTTCGATGAATTAACAGCCACAGGTCCGATATTTCACCAAGTATTATTGATAATTTACCAAGTGGCAATATTTGAAGAATTTTGGAATATTTGGAAAATTTTTTTTAGAAACAATGATGTTGTTCTTCATATATTATATACTATATATTATATGCTATATATATTATACTATATATATATATATTATATACTATTATTTTATAATATTTGGAGAATTTGGAATATCTAGCTCATTTTTTTTAGAAACGATGATTTTGACTTTGTTCTTCATATATTATATTCATTTCTTCAGTCTAAATTTTCTAGCTGTCGGAATGAAGCCGAACGTATGAATCCACAACAAGTGGGGAGAAATGATTCAACCGGTCTGTGTCACCGGTCTGGAATAGATTAAAATTACTCATCTTTTACACTTTGCGCTCTTTTTGCTTTGTTTTGGCCACAATTTATATTACAACCATAAGAATGAGGATTTCGTGACCGTTGAGAACGATTAAGCTTCAAGTACTAAAAGGATGTAAAAAAAAATCAAGCGCACGAGATTAGGGTATGAAAGAACGGTGCTTGATCACTTAAGACAATTTAGGATATGAGTGTTGGGAATGTCTCCGTAATTTATCTCAATTGAATGATGAATTAAACAAAAATATTATATTATAATATCGTTCAAAAACAAGTTTTTTGTAAGATCTTTAAATACACACTTATTTTCGAAGACAATGAGCTTGATCATCAAACGTCTGTTCTTCAAAAGTGATAACCGATCGCATTAAACGATTACGGACTCTTTTTTTTTTTTTTTTTTTTTTATCAAGCACTCCCGTGAATCGCTATCAGCGATGTACAACTCGACAACGATCTAAAGTATTCTCAGACTGTATCTTATCGATTACAGTCATTGGAAAGTGTGTTTCTCTTTGGGAAACTTTTGTGGAATATCCGCAGCGGCCCCCGAATTTACTGCAGATAGAGTTGGGAAAGTAATTTCTGCGCAATAAAACGCTACAAGTGGATCCGGCCGTAATTTTTCCGCCACCATGGAGGATCGGCCACCTGGGTGGGTCCTGATCGTTCGAATCATTCGCGAATAAAAGGGGAAATGCAATTAAACTTCGTAACCGCGGGCCTGATACGCCGGTCATCCGCTCCGAATGTGTCATTCTCAGTCGGCGAAAATGCAATTTGAAGGTCCAGACGAGTGAGAACAAAAAAAAAAAAAAAAAAAAGATGGAGCAGGCGAGGAAAGAAGAGAAAAAGGAGTGATCGAACCACTTTGGTGATCAAAGGAGAAAACGGATCTGACCCAGTTTTCGCGACTGCGGTTACCTCCGTATGAAGGAACTTGCAATAACTCGTCCTTCTACCGTCTCTCATAATCTCAAATCCATCGACTTTCCCATGTCCCTTCTTTTCTTCCCCCTTTGTGCGATCACCATCTTATGCGTGCCACGTGCACCGACGATAAAAACGCGCGACTAAGTATATTGAATTGTTCGCCTGATCGAAAATAGCGTGATAACGTTCAATTAGCGGCGAAAAGGACGAAAAGGACGTCCTGACTTTCAGTTACTAATTAAGACTTTTTTCTCACGTAAGTATAAAAATTCAGAAGTTCTTACGTGCCTGAAAAAATATTAATATTAAGTATACAAATGCAAGCGCCATTTTCTTCTACAAGTAATTAGTAGTGCTTAAAAATTAGTGAGAATCAAAATAGAAAGAGGTGAGACCATTGACGTTGCACGTTCTCTTATTTAAAAAAAATAAAAAAAAAATAAAAATGTGACTTACCATGCTCCTCCCCTGTATTATCCATTTCGAAGTTACTCAATTATAAAATACGAGCAATCTAACTTATCATGTTTTTTTTCCCTTGGCAGTCTTCGTACGAAGATATTTCCTAAAAATACAACAGACGATCTAAAACTTCTAGGCAATATGACACATGTGTTGTGTGATGTCTCAAGGTTTCGAGCGTTAAACCGAGACTAATAAACTCGATGATTTAATTACACTTTTTTTCTAGGCAATAGATCGAATTATCAATAAGTAAGTTGATGACGATGGACGGTGGGTTTTTGTCGGAACGTGAAAGTATCCTAGACGACCGGTAAGGTAGGATGCAAGTAGAACGAACGCGCGAGCGAGGCCTGTTGCAAAATCATCCTGAGATTGCTCGGCCCGACTGGCTGGCCGAGCATTGCGAGAGTTTCACAACGGCCATTGTTAGATAGAACGATGTCGAAACCGCATCAATTTTAGAGGAAAACGGGGACGAAATGAAAGACAGTTCACCAAGGCGACTTCACCTACGACTCGGTGCATCGACCTTCGAAATCGTTCCCAATAAAATTTGGAAATACCCTCAGAGTTAACGGAACGATGACTCGATATTTGTTACGGTGCTAAATTCTAATGCATGTGCGTTGCGCACATGCATTATGCGTGTACGAAATTCCTCGAAGATTACTCGAGCATGTGTAAAAATAAGTACAGGTGTTTCTGACGATTGAACATGTTCACGATGAATTTCGAATATCTGTGTACTAGTAATTTTATAGAAAAAGAAAACACCACAGAACTTCGTGCAAATATGAAGTGTACATTTTGTGTCAAAAATAATCAATGGTTGAATACTTTTGAGCAATAGTGTACGTAGCCGCTGGTTGGTGCATTTCCAAATTCTATGTATATTTACTGACAAATATTTTGTCTTGGATTTAACAAATTCTTAAAAATCATCGGTTCTACGTAAAATGACTATGCCAGAATTTACTTGGATCGGCTACATTTCAGGTTAATATTCACCTTATCTACCGATGTCTTATCATTGGATTAATTTCTTCATACTGTAGACCACGACATAAATTTCGCACTTAAAATTGCGTAAACGCAACAATGTAAAACGATACAGATAAAATAACTCACATATCTGTCTGTCAAGATACAAGAAACACATTGGAATGATAGCTTTTTTTAAAAGCTCGCTACTACTAATGCAAATTGAGCGACGAAAAAAAAAAAATTATAAACGAACGTTACTCCTCGTGAATTAAAAAATAGAAACAGACACAGCAAGTGAGGGAATAAAAATCAAAATGATACGAAAAATCGGGCGGTCCTCTAATTGCTGTTTTGCGAACACGGTACAACATAAATATGCGGACACTCCCTGTAAAACGAAATGGAACGACGGTCGGAATAAGTCCAAAGTCACGAAGCCACAAGTAGTACGGTGCAGTGTATACTCAGACGAAACTACGAGGCGTAATTTAGCCACTTGTAAATTGAAACGAGTATCAAAACAAACGATACCGTGCGAGGGTAACATAAAACAGAAGACAAGCCTACCCCCTCGCTGTTAAGTGTTCTCCAGCGTTAAATTCATTGCCTCTCATAACGTTCGAATTCATGAAGTGAAACGCGATAACGGATTTCCATATAAACTGGCGACGCGTACGAGGATTGTGTCGCACGAAGGACATCGACAAAACGAAAGGATGGAAACTATGTAGGAAGAGACGACAATCGAAATTTTTATCGTCCAAGAGCACGTGGTTCATCATTCTTGCGCACTTATTAGTATAAGCTGGATCAAAAGAATCGGCGAACGATTTCGTGCAATCTTTTCAATAGCGCTCGCCTCCAACATTTCGATTGATACAGTAAATCCTCGATGCTACGAGTTCGATTTATTTGAAAGTTTATAAAATTATTTCTCGTGGATGATACGACATTTATTAAAGAATATTTACTTATATGTATAGAATAGTGGACGCAACTTCATCATCAGTGTAGATCAGAAAGAATGTAGAATTTTATTGCGCAATTTTCACGTTATTTGTACTATATTTTGCATTTTCGTAACAGGTCACTTTGCACTGAATATAGTCATGCTTGTTGCTACGTAAACTCTGTCTCCACCCACTCTCTAGCGAGATCGAATCGATTCCACCTCACCAATCGCGTTCTCCTATTTTATTTTACCATTTCAGAATCAAGAGATACGTCATACATCATTTCTAACAGTTCAAGTTCAAGTTAGTTCCAATTTAAAAAAATTCATCATTAGACTCGTACCACTCATTTCATTGCTGGAGCCATTTTATGGAAACGACCAAAGATTACAAAATGACAAGAAAATATTCTCTTTCTTTTTATTTGATTTCGATATTGAACTTCTGCCATTTTACTGAATATATTTCGAAAATACTAATTATTATAGTAGTATAAATTTCACACAGTCTTATTATTTAAGACGTATAAATTTAAGTCTTCTTCTCAATTATGCAGATAAAAAATTAACAAAAATGGAGTCGTTATATTACTCGTTGATCTTCGATTACAAATCAGGAAATCCGCGATGCTTTCCAGAACGAGAGCTTCTGGATCGATCATTGTCACCGCATCATCCCTTTTCTCGAATGTTTACCTCGAGGGGAGCGGAAATAATTCGGTGTTGGATGGGAAGAGTGCCCAGAGAAAACGGCAAGATGAAGCAGGAGCCGAGGGTTCACGAGGCGTTCCCGACATTGCGCCGCGCATCAATAACTCCCATCCATTGATAGTCGGTGGCAACGCGTGGAAACGACGAATCAACGTGATAGGCGGCCTCTCGATTTCCCCTTGTAACTGACCATTCCTAATTCCGAAGTTTTACCGTGGATCGCGGTTAATCTCCGCGCGAACTTCACTTTCCCCCTTTCCAGTTTTCATTGGGCGCAAAAAGGGCTGGAAGCCACTGTCCGATCCGATCGATTTGGAGAATAAACTCCACTTGTGGAAATTCGCTAATGACCATCGCTTGTTCCGCCTGTTTGCGAAGCAGAAGAGTGTTGGTTAACTCGAATCAATTTGAAGTTTTGAGTTTTCTCTAAATGTCTATTAATTCCGGCCAACTGAAGTTATATGAATATTATATTATCACCATGTTATAGTTACATTACTATATAACATATATATAGCAATATCATGTAAAAAAAAAGTTACATTCAAAAAGATGCACGGCTTATTGAAGATTCGAGTAAAACTTCGAGAATTTGAACGTTTTACACGGAAAATTTATGGAATAGAGTTTAAACGTCGATTGAAATTCTGAGAATTCTGGAGCGATCAAATTCTGAACCTGGAAGATTTGTTTAGAGCTTTCTGTAGGCACCATAATTAATTCAGCCAATTAAAATTAACTCAGTCAATAATATTTCACTCCGAATCTTCGTCTATTTCGTTTGATTATATTATTGGGATTTGTGTAATGAAAATTCTAACTGTTACGACTTCCACAAATCAGTCTCGATACAACTGAAGGGAAACATATGCGCAGAACGCGACGCGAGAGAACAAAGTACCATTTTATAAAGTAACCTTGAACGAAGCGGCAACGACCAAAGACCAATATGGAATAAAACCGCGAACGTATATCGAAAATCCGCGATTCCGTCGATCTTTCTTTGGAATCTGGAAAATCGGATCATTCGTGTTGTCAAGAGACTTCCTCCTCTCCATGGTAATCCGGTGGTCCATGACCCTAACCTATCCTAATCTGTCTCAACCGCAGGGAGATTAACCCCTGACCGCGAGGTCAGCACTGTTTGGCACCCGTTTTCACCCCGAACGAACAAATGACGGTAAACAAACTGGCGGTCCTCTTCCGGAAGCCACTTGTTAATGAGAAAAACCAGAAAAACTCTGCTAGAAAAATGGACCAACAACCACCAATGGATGCAGCTTTCAACTAGGATAGAAGGAGAGAAAAATCTGCGAGAGAGATTCCGTGCGTGAGAGAAACGTTCGTGGAATGTTTCATTTGCTTGAATAAGTTGTGAGCATAAACAAGTGTAAAGATACTAGAAGTAGATCCGAGATTGTGAGATGATCGATAACATCTTTGAGTTTGATACATATAAAAACTATCGACATTTAGATTATCCCGAAACAGTTTGGAAATAATTGATTCTTCATTAACCTATCGAGACATTATTCTATTGTGTTGAGACATTTTCTTAAAGAAATAGATACGTATATATATGTGTAAATCGTCCAAAGAATCCACGTTGTGGAATCGTTTGAAATCTCTTTGAGTATTTGGTTCTTAATAGATAAAAAAAAAAAGAGAGAAAGAACATATTCCCTATCATCTATCAATCACGGAACCTACTACATTTAGGATAGACTAAATGAATGTTCTGATTATAAAATGAAGCTGGTATTTATTGATCATGTGTATCATGCGAGAAACTAAATTATATCATATCTCGTAGATTTCATTACAAATCCATTTTCTTAAACCTCACGAATAGAATTTATGCCGATGTCTGACAAGCGAACTGTTGCATTTTCATAACTTTCGGTATTTCCGCCAGCAGGTAAATGAGGGAAAAAAAAGTAAGAGGAAGAAGGAAGAGTTCCGCAGCCACCATTTCAAATATTTACGCCGTGGCCGCAACAATGGATACAATATCAGTTGCCTAGCAACGCTCTATCAAGAGATTGAGAATTTCGACTTTTCCCCACTTTCTTCCTCCATCGTCTTCCTTTTCTACAATCTTGCAATATCTTTTAACAACCATTTTTTACAAAATAGCTTTCTCTTGAGCGTCTCCCTTATTTTCCTCAATCAGCCTTTCGTTCTTTCTCGTAACTTCGAACAAGATGAGAAATGGATCGACACTGGATTCAAAGTTAACAAGAGTCAAAAGACCAGAAAGAAAAGAAGAATCAATGCAGCAAGCAAAGACCGAGTAAGAAAAGAGATTTTTCTCTTCTCAGTGCCTCTGGAATCTATGTATGCATCTGTATCTGTGTGTTCGACACTGAAGAGGGAGAAATGATAAAGAGATAGAGATAGAGAGGGGGGAGAAAGAGCAGAGAGAGAGAAAGAGAGAGAGAGAGACCAATAATATGTGGCGGAGGAGAGACGAAAAGGACAGTAGAACAAGAGGGGAGGGATCAATGCCGGTTGCCAGGGCAACCACGGTACCTGATCTTCATCCATCCTGGACCATACTTCTCAGTCCTGCCCCGTTCACGGGAACAAACTGGGACGAAGTGTCCTCTAGGATGGGCCGATTTCTAGAGGTTGCACCGTCTCTCAGATTGAAACCGAAACGAGGAAAACGTAGGAACACTGTCAACCTCATCCAATTGAGCTCATCCAATTTAGATCTCGTGTACACATCTCCGTTTTGGATATTGACAATGGAAACCAAGTTACAGGAGTGTCTCGCGTAATACTTTACAAATGAAGAAAATTTAATTGAGAAAATCATACGAACATGCTTTAAATCTACTTTTATCTCTGCATGGATTCAATAACGTTTGGTTCTTACGTAGTATTCGAGTTTCTTTTTATTTTCTTGATACAATTCCAACAAGCATCTTTTACGAGCACATCAACGTTTCATCCTACAACTGAGAAATTCATATGGATAGTCGATAATAAAAGAGAACGTAAGCTAAACACATGCTTCTACGTATAAGATTCTACGCAGAACAAGCACTATAGTTAATAGCGTGAGCTGCACCGAAAACAGCAATACTGCAATAACTTTCTCCTATTCCTACCAACAACGATTGCGCTATAGTATCCAAAACTAATCTAACACACCTGTCCCTCTTAAAACGCATATCTATCGTAGATTCTTATCCTTTCCCATTAACAAAATTTATCGACCTCTACTTAAGAAAAGACTTGGTAAAAAGAAAGAAAAAAATGGCAAAAACGATCGAGTTTGAAAGGAATTCAGTCGCAGAGAAGCTACTACGCTAGTCAAGAGTCGGTCGTTTCCAGAGGCCTTACTGCGCATGCCTTTGCGCATCGGGCGAATAGATGTCTGCTTCCTTCTTTTTTTTTTCAACTGCGTTCATACGGCACAGTATTTCGTTTGTTCGCAAAGATGATTTATCTTGATTTATTTATCGTATCGGAAAATCGATCTGGCTGACAAAATAATCGTGCTACGAGAGACATAAAAAGTTAGTCGCGATTCTGCTTGATTAGAGTAGACGCGACGCTCGCGTTTCTGCGCATCAGCGCGAGTTTTGGCGGGTCGATGCGCCATTGTTGCCCCGGCGGCTGCGTCCGCTTTGTTTTCATCTCTCTCTTGTTCCTGTTTCTCTCCCCCTACCGCTATGGTCCTCCTGCCTCTCTCAACGGCTCTCTCATTTCACCATTTTTCACTCGACGTTCTCACCCAACCACCTCTAGTCCTCTAGTTGTTCGTTAATGAAAAATAATAAATCCAAAACTATTGGGAGAAAGAGGGAGAAAAAAAGAGAAAAGAGAACGACGTAGAGACGTTAAAAAAGCGACAAATTCCAGATTGCTTTACGTTTACATTCTCTTTTTTTAAAGCAAAATATACTGGTTTTTGAGATAACTGCAAGTTGTTTGGTGATAAACGCAAGAGAAAACTTTATAACTCTGATGGATTTTTCAACTTTCACACGGACTATGCAGCACATTCTCAATTTTATCGATTGACTTTTTTTTAAATAAGAATTAAATCAAAGAATCATACTTAGACAATTAGTGGAAATTCATCTGAATGTAACTTTCGATTAGACGACCGTAGAAACATGCGATATTTAAATATAGTATTTGCATGAATTTCCGTTGCGAAATGGGATAAGAAAATAGAAAAGAGATATCTGATGTGTATGGATAATAGATATTATATCGTTATCATCAGATATTGATTTTTTCATGATTAGACAACTATCATGGCTTTGCGTGAAGAACTTTCTAATATAGTTTACTGTAGTTTAATAAAAAAGGAAAACGAATTGAACGTTCATAATTAAAAAGTTATTTCGGAATAATTCAACGATATTTGCATTTCATGGACTATATAATTAAGTTGTTATTGCATGATATTAAAAAGAAAACATCAACTGTTTGCAACATTATTTTTTTTTTTTATATTTTTCAATAAAAAATGTTATACTATATACATATATAAAGCAGCTGATGGGCACTTTAACTCAGACGATATACATTAATTGGATAAGAATTTTAATAACCGAACAAAGGTCAAGTATTAATCAGTTAAGTACAACAAACTCTGAAATATGAATATCACGATAAAAAGTGAAAAATTGCAACGATTTATTAATCAATTTTTATTTTATACATTAATATACTATACTTTCTTCGATCTAATTTTTATTTGAAGAATTTTTTTGTTCGAAGGTTTACTTTTATATAATTTAAGTGTAGGATATTTTCAAGTTATAAAAATGGTTGGCAAATGCGTAAACACAGAGCCGTGATATCGATAACGAAATGAGTAGTCACTCTGTAGACATCACTTTGGTTTCACGGTTGATAAGCAACAATGTTATGACTAGAATTTATTACTAAACTAAAAAAACTGAACTAAATGTAGAATCAAAAAAATTTTGAATCACAGTTTCGCATTATTGTCCTTCGTAAAACAAAAGCGAGCTAAGATAATTCAATCAGACGTTAATTCTTGACAATTTTGGTTCATCAAGTATTCGTCATGAAAGGAACGCTGTACTTCAGTCAGTTACATACTTGAAAGCTTTAAGCATGAATAAATGATATTTTCAAAACCCACAGAAATTTATTGTTTTTCTTGAAATTTCAAGCTCGCAGATTTTTTTTATATCTCGAATAATGAGGCAAGTTTCTGAAGACTGCCTAACACGATATACCAATCAATATTCTATTCCTTGCTATTAGAAGATAACCAAATATTAATACATATAAGATAACCAATTATTAATACATATACATTGATAGTTCAATATTGCTATCATATGAGTACTTGGAGAAATAAATTAAAGAATAATTCAAATGACCAAAATTCAAACAAGAAGTTCAAGCTGTTTTGTATACATCCAAATAATTTAGCTCAGATATAAATATAAAAGTATAGATGAATCTAAAACAACCTAACTTTATTACTTTTGTAAATTTTATTACATGTACGAAACGATTTCTTGATCATGCAGTATATTTGTGTAATATCGCCATGATGCGCACACACCTCTACAATCGGAGATATGCGCACTCGGAAAAATTAATGTATGCCACATACTTGTTGCTCGTAGATATAAAACACGTTCGCAGTGCTTATCCAAAAATTCACATCGCCGTAATGTAGCACAGATTGGCTTTTATCGTTAATATTGTACGTCACGCGTGCCAATTGTCGACGTACGTTTTATACACCTGAGATAAGTTTCGCCGGAAATGCGTCACGAGTAAGTTCTTTTGTACTTTGGGTCAGTTCAAACAGATACCGATGGAAATTCTTTTCCGTGTTCAGCTCTATCGAATTCTTTTCTGTCAAACAGGTTTTACCATGGAAATTCTTCGTTATATTTCGTGTATCGACGTTACTTTATCCAAAAGAAAATTTAGGAATATTTTCTTAAACCTCAACTACAAACCGTATGTTTGTCATTAACATAAACATATGATTTTCCATATTATTTATTAATCATTGTATTATAAAAAGCAATCGAGTTATTTGATTTAATATCATATATCTGATTCTTAAGATTTTTAAAATTGAATGTTCTTAAATGTTGGAGCCGGAAGTAAATAGAAATAATGGAATAAATATTTTTAATATTGATGAGAATAGGGTTAGTTAATATTATTAATAGATTCCCTATATTTCATTGATTAAAGTCATGGAAGTAGCAGTACTCTAAAAAAATATAATCCAATGAAAGGAAGTACAGTTATTCCATTATAATATAGAAAATACGGCATAAAATAGTAGACCGGAAGTAAGCATAGAAAATAGTGTGTCACGATGCCACGCTCGAATACAGCGAACGATTTAAAAGTTTGTTATTATTTACCTTAACGAAAAACCAGGATGCTATTCCTATACGATTATTTGCGAACGTGCGATATTATCCATGAAGTTAATCCTTCGTCGAAGAATATCATGAGGCAATGAATCAAAGTATTTCTCTGTTTCAAGGTATTTCGACCTTAATTGACGTCAACGGCAAATAAGCACAGGTTGGCCAATATTCACAAGTGACTGCGAAGCGTGGTGGCGGTTACTCATGAAAACAGATATTTTTGTATTTCTGTCGAGAAATACCAAAGTATCATATGAGGAAGAAAGTACAATCTACTTCAATCCACTTAATTACAACTTTAAGTACCGTTTAAATTCGCTTCAAATGATTGTGATGATGTACGTGATCAAATTTTTATGACTTTTTGACGATATTTTTGCACATCTTATACGAAAAAGATACTGAACAATAACGAATCGCGGTTTTCGACAACAAAGTGAAAAAAATAGTAAATCTTTCATAAAAATCTTCAAGCTCGATCTGACTGAAAATATAGGCAAATTTTGCGTGCTAGGTATGTAAAAAAGACTATCAATAGCGACCCTATCGTGCATCTTTCACCCAATCGAAAGGTGAGGTTAGTTCTCCCACTTACGATGGAAAATATTACGCTACGAAAGGTACGTATTGTACGTATAATTATGCAACCGAATTATATTACCCTTAAACTTTTTTGTATATCGCTACGAGTGTCCGTTTCATATATGCAGATCAACGTTGACCACATACCAATTTCGTTATATTTCGCCGAGGGACAAGAGAAAGACAAGGTTAACGAACATAAATTGTACATGATCGCGATCGAACGACGAGGACAAAGAGATTGCACGAACTGTCGACGATTATGACATCATAACCTATCAACCGACTCATCTCAAAAACAATTGTGAAGTCATCGTTTTATCACGCTACTTCGTACTCTTTCAGAGTACAGAGGATAGAAAGTCTGTTGCCGTCTGGTATATCTGTCTATTGTAAACCATGCCTTCAACTTCTCTCCTATTTGCACTTTTAACCGCCTTCAGTTTCTTTCGTAGAAATAACCACGTCATTAGGTTTACAATGAAAATCCGACCGGCGATTCAGTTATTATAAAATAGAAATAATATCGTATACGTTATGACTTACCGGTTTTCAGTCGATCGTCACATTTTCAGATTGTCTTGTGTTACCAACAGGCCGTTGTTATTCTGACACTAGCGAACTTTTTCACAGCGAAATATTTACAGGGACACAAAGCACCGTGAATCAAATGATCACACCATGGCGCGCAACAGCAGCCTGCAGGCCATCTTGAAGCCACCAACGAGGCACGCACACAATAAGCCCCGTCGAATCAGGCACATACGGTGTAAGGTCCTCCCAGAAGGACGGAAGACGATCAAGTGAATGCTCCGTAAAGTGGCAGCCATGATGGCGCCACTTGTCGAGCCTTTTAAACTTCAACGAAATTCTAAATAATTCTATCCTACAGTTCTAAAGTTAATTCGTTTCGTTGCATACAGTACTCGCTGTAATGCGTGGCCTTCTTTTTTCGTAACTGCGCGAAATAGAAGTTATATTTCACAACGGTATTGGGTTTAATTTGGAAAGAATGCTCGAATAGAATCAAAGTAATAATTCCTCGCGCGGTAGTCGCGATGGCGCCACTGACTACTCGCGTGTGCGATGACTGATACAAATTGTCTATCTCTCGTAGTGTTAGGTAGTTCATAAAAATTAAGAATGAATAGCTGATCATTTTATAATGAAAATTATGATTCACCGTACATAACAGGTGTTCATAATTTTTTTCAACAATGGCAGTAGTGCACGAAAGGTACAGTACATTTTCAACATTGCGAAGGTTAATCGATTTTCATTAAACGACTTGTATACATATTTCTAATATCTTTACACGGAACTAGATCGAATATCGTTGACTTAACTAGAAAATTGTGTCTCGTTCAGAAATAGAATACAAACGCAAGTCTGAAAAGTAATTCGATACACCGCTCGTGTGGTGTACATATTAAGACGTTTTTTGGTTTAGAAAAACGTCATTCGTATATTGCTTCGATATATTTTCTAATTAAAATTATATAATACAGTTGACCTGAAAGAACATCTATTGTTATCCATCTCGATTTCTTATCTCATATAAGGTAAATAAAAATGACAAGATAATGTCTTTTTTCTCTTGATATTTAACGATTTTCTTTCAGAGCATCTGCCTGATTCACAACTTTCTTAAATAAATTTTATTCGAGCACTAAACAGTGATATCTACACTCTACAACAAACATGTTTGTCTGTTTTCGTCGTTAGTGTAACATCTGCGCACTTTTATTATTATATAACGACCAATGTCATTAGGAATTCTATACGAATAATATAATAATAATGATCATTATTGCTTGCCACTTTAACGGCGTTGTTAAATTTTTTTTACAATATTCCATCTAAATTTGTCGAAGCACGGAAGATTCCAAAAATAAGATCCGATAAATTAAGGGGTCATTGTTAATTAGGAGTACTTCCGTCCTTCGTATAGAACTCTGCGTTTGATTATTCCCGCAAAAAACTGGATATATTCTTGGCACATCGTAGTAAACTCTTAATAAACGCATCATGTATATAAATAAGTTATACAATCGATGGCTCAATTCGAATTATTAAATATATATATATATATATATATATATATATATGTAATATGTATATGAATATTTAAGATCTGTACGCATATATGACTAGAATATACAATAATATATATATATATTTATATCTCGACATGTATCACATGCTATATTGACTATCGTGTTACCGGACGGGATTTGGAAATTTTATTCCTCATCCTTATATATACATCATCTCTCTCTCTCTGGCAGTCAGTATTTGACATTTCGAAATCGAAAGAGAAAATATATAAGAAAGAAATCTTAGATTATAATTTGCTCTTCTCATTAATAATCAATTTTTGTTATACCAGAGACAGAAATATGCTGTTACTTATTGCTTTGTTAATAATCTTAGATCGTAATTACTCTTAATCATTAATCGCTAGTACTTTCATAAACTTTCATCTTAGGAGCTTCAACCGTAAGTACTAGTATTGACTTTAGTGTTTATCGAACTCATAACAGTGTACGCCACCCTTGAATAATATTTCTTCACCTAATACTTTCATTGTATATCAACAAGTAGTCTCACGTTCAAAACTTACAGGCTAGACGTGTTATAGTTTTAATGTTAAAACTGAACCTATCAAATTCTGTCCTCTGGAAGATTAATCGCGTTGTGTGTCATTAAATATTCATAAAAATCGTTATCAACGCTAAAAGTAATACCTTCTACTTATCCCTCCTTTATCTTGTAAATCGTATAGTAAGAAATCCTCTAATATTTCTTGACGCTTCTACCGACGCCCGTTTCATCCCCTAAAATTTGATTCTCGATTCAACTTTACACCTAGCCGAGAAAACGAAGATTCGAATTTTTAATTCGACTCTCCACTAGCTACGGTACCATCGGTTGGAGGTCCACCTGCTGTGACGCTTTGGGGATCTGTCGTAGGAAGTCCTTGCATATCCTGCACACCTTGGAACAATTTGCCTGGAAACCCGTGTAATAAATCGTAGGAAACAGGTGTGGGTGGTAAAGCAGTAGTATGAGCGTGTGGGGATTGTAAAACCGCTATCACTCTTCTTAGTTCCTCCAAGGCGTTCCCTGTATAAAACGTGTTCTAATAAGGAATAATCCGATAAATATAAGTGTACTGAAGTTAACTTGTTAACGCAACGCAATTTCATTTGCTATTCATTTTCAGTCGCGTTACGTCATAAAAATTCCAATACATTCACATATTTATCGCACCTAGATTCAACAATTTGAAGTATTTGTGACATCATGATAAACTATTGTTTAATCCTTGATAGATTAATAGCATAAGTTTTTATAAGTATCCTAATACCCTTGTTAATTGAGAGGCACGCGTTTCATGCTATTTCCTCTTACCTTGCATGAGAATGTAATTTTTCGCCAACAGAAGTGTTGCAATCTTGGACAGTTTTCTGACGGACGGACTATGAGCGTAAGGAATCACGGATCGAAGTTCGTCGAGCGCATCGTTCAAATCATGCATTCTTCTGCGTTCTCTGGCGTTAATGTTCAATCGCATACTTTTCCCTTGGCGAGTAGTTTTTGACTTTGGCGGGCAATTCAGTCTCGATGCACCAGGCCTGATTAACAAATGTGTTACTCGATTAGACGAAATTGATTATTATTGTGGCTTTTGTGATACCTTTCTTGGTCTGGTCTGTTTTCATCGGAAAGAGCACTCGATGAAGCATGCGGTTGGGGCTGCTGCTGAAAATAGAAACCGCCGAGGCCGACGGCACCCAAGGGAGTCCTTCTACCAGGTGCACTCTGAGGATGCTCAGACGAGTAACTAGCTGGAGGAGCGGAAACACTAGCGTGAGATGCTCCCGGTACAGAATACATAGACTCGAGCGACGCTGTTGACTGTGGTGGCACTGGATGCTGCAATAGTTACAAATGGTAAATAATGCAAATTAATCGAACAAATTATGGCCCGACGTATTTTTTGTTTTATTTTCTCTGTACTCGTTATTTTCGCCCGTATAGTTATTTTTAATATCTACTTTAAATTCGTTTCAATTAATGAAGAGATAGCGAAGGTTCGTATTAGCAATCTCCTAATAAATATAATTTAATTTTTTTTCTTCTGTTCATATAAGAATCCTTAAAGGCGATTGATACACACACTAGTACGATGTTCCCAAGCCCACGTAGGATGCGAAGCCGAACGTTGCCAGGATCCTTGTTGCAAATGCGCTTCAGGAAGCCCTTCTCTCCTGTCGTCGTCCTCCGTGGAGCTACTCTCACCGTCATACGATCTCATCTCTCGAACGATTCTTATCTCCGTTTCAAACGTATTTCTTCTCTCACTTTCGACCAATACTTCCAGAGATCAACAGGGACGGCTTCGTTGAATAGCATGAAATCGTTGGCTGGTCGGTTATCATCGTTTACGCGTGAGTAACACGAAGTATCGAACGAATGGCATCACCGACATAATATAATCAATAGTAACCGCAACACTTACCGACAAATTTCTTTCCGCCGCCGGTCATGCACGGCGCAGGATCCCCCAAATGGAGCGAGGATCAGCAAAATTTTTTGCGCACGACCGCGTAACCAGCCATCCTTCCAATATACAAATCCTTTTTTTAACTTCAATACAATACAATATCGCAATCCACACGATTCAATCGCAATATGTTGTCTCTTGTTTTCTACTTTTTGTAATGGATTTGATATGATATAAATGAGTCACTGTTTACGACTGAAAATGACGCTGTTCTCAGCCATGTTACGCGGTGCCAGCTGTTTGCTTCGATACCACGAGGTAGCGTTCGATCATTTACCCCCCCGTGTCTCTATTATTCAATCGTATCTTCCTGTCGTCTCTCGGCGTTACCTTTTTTCCATCACTCGAGTCGATACATTTGTACTTAATGAAATTATCGCCCACAGACGAGAACTCCTTCGTACACACGGACCACGCACGCATCTATTGTTTGCAGACGCCCTGCGCAGAACGGTGAAGAGTTTGCAACCCCAAATATAGTTCGAGCATCCTCCGATAGGACGAGCGATCGTCGAATAAGGGATGCTGGCCTGGACCAACGCCTGGCGAACCCTGGCGAACATCCGAACAAGTTCCACGAGATCATACATCCGCGAGATCTTACCATCTGGTTAGGTCGATGCCCAGATGGAAGGGCCCATCGTTCAGGTGGGTGCAACATCGTTTTTTGCCCTTTTGTGACTCGGATGCTTTCCCTAGTTCGAAGGTTGCCTTACTTTCAGCGTCAACCGCAGCAAAACAATCGTCTTATATCTTATTTGCAATTTCGATAACTACAGAGGGTGGAGCAATAAGGATGGGATAATAAATGTATCACAAAAGGTCGTCGTAACTTTGCCACTCAATTCTCCTCATAATTCTTATGGATAAATTCATTATCGGACATTCTATTCTTTTCATTCCTCCGTTTCAGCTTATCTTTTGCACTTTTATTTTTCGCACTTTGATAACTCAAGAGAGTGTGTTGTAAAAAGTCGCAACTTTGAAACTCAATGCGTTTCTGATCATTTTCATAGATAAATTTACTCTCCAACTCTTTACTTATTCCAATCTCTTTCTCGTTGATCTACTTTCTCATCTCGTCTCATTTCCTTTCGTGATAGACGATAACGAGAATCGAGTAAACGAATATAAACTCGCGTGCATCTTTTCTAATCGAATTTGCCACTGAAATTCGTTTGATCTATTGTTCATCCACGAGCAAAAGGAAAACTCGGAAACATGGAAATCGATGGAAAAAAGAAACGCGAAAAGGATGGGCGAAAAAAGGGGCGCGGAAAATTTCATAGGTAGGCAGGGGTGAGCAACGGAAATGCAGCGCGAGAGTGTATCGCGAGTCGTATGGGTCTTGCATGTAACGTTGCAGATCAATTTTGCGAACAGTGAACAGGGTCTCTCTCTCTCGATGTGGAGTACGAAATAACGACGGATCGACGGCTGACACGTTCTCTACCGTGCGTTATACCTGACCGTGGGCATAATAACGCCGAAATCAAAACCGACTACGCGCACACACGTCGAGCCATATTGTTCCCTGCATCTGTCGTGTGCACGACGCAGGGGGTTGTCATTCGCAACGAACACGTTCGACGAAAACTCTGTATCGCCGGCATTCGACTCGCCTTTGCCCGGGTACAATGGGAATTTTTCGCCATGGCGTAAATGTTTTTGTCTCCTCTTCTTTTTCGCACTGCCGGTCCATCTCTCTCCTTTTCTCTCTCTCTCTCTTCCTTTTTTTTTCATTTATTTCCCGTTTTAATTAATACCCCGGGAAACGAGGCAGGTCCGCACAGAAGCGGGGGTAGAAAGGATTTTCGTCAGTTTTTTATGTATAACTCGCGATGAACATTCACGTTTGAAATGATACTGAAAATGAACAGAGTTTTCTATTGTTTTCTCGTTTCGTTCTCTTTTCCTGTTCTCCCTTCTTTTTATTTTTTTTTTTTTTTTTTTTTTTCGTGATCATCGAGAATATCTAGAAAAAGAGTTTAAATTTCGCGATGCTCTATTTTTCGTTATAATTTTGCCGGGAAAATGTAAACACTGGGATGAAAAGCAAAAAAGAAAGTTTGAAGAATTGCGATTTTCATTGAAAAAGATGTGTCCCGGCGAAACTGTCGTTTTTTTTTCGGAAGGATTAAAATAGATTTATGCACGGAAGAATATTGCGAGGACGTAATAAAAACATCATCTAACTCCGCGCTTGTCCGTGCCAGGAGAAAAGGGAATTTGTTTTACGCGAATGCAACCAGAATTTCAAAGTGTCGAGAGAATCCAACTACGTCATACTTGGCTCGGGTCTTCATGTAAAATAGATCCATGAAACCCGGAAACATTTTGCGTGGATGAGATTTATACAATTCCAAAGGTGTCCTCAGAGCGTACATTTATCACGTGTACTTGAAGCTTCTGACTTGTCACAAATATGTTGAGCCGTGCAGCTTTTGCTATCGTGAACCTTATGAATTTCTTATCAAACTTTCTCCTCGTTTCAAGACAGTATATTTCTGAACTAAAAAATCTACTTTATTTAAACTCTTATGAAAAATCAAATTCCAATACAAATTTGTCTTGTCCATCGAAAATTATCACGAGTACTCTATTCAAGATATTTTATATTTTATATGAATTTCTTACATATTCATCCCTTTAAATTTTGCATAAAAATATTAATTCATAACATTCTTTATTATGTAAGATATCCTTTATCATATAAAATATCAAATTACACTTACAATATAATTATGTATAATTTTTTCCAATTTTGGATAAAACAATTATAAAAATAATTATGGTAATTGTAGTAACATTCTTGGAATTGTTTTTCATTCTTAAAATTTCAAACAATCTTAGTATATTCGGTCTGAATCATATGACACATCCTTTTCAGTCGCAATAGTAGTTAAGTGTTGGAGTTAGTTTTACTTCTAGCTGAAATGTTTACTATACGCAATTCGACATAATGATGCAGTCTGTCAACCCCTCCTGAGTTCTCGAAGTGGCCAAATCTTTGGCACAGAAATGAGGGCTTTAATACATATGTATAGAACAGGCTGGAATTGTTTAAGGAGCTAGCGGGAGTGTCGCACCCTCGTCGAACTTCTCTGTTTAAGAGGGTTTCATTATTTAAATTCATCAAAATATACCATACCATAGTTTCACGTGCCTTCAATCTGAAAAAAATACATGCATATAGTAAAACGAAGATTCGTTTTCTTTTATGCGTTTGTATCGAATAGATTGAATTGCTAAATTACGTAGAAGGGAGTCGAATTTACTTCTAGACGATTGCATTCGATAAATTCCGTGCGGTAAGTTTCCTATTTGTGACAAAATAAATACAGAATCTTTCTAGGTCGAGCACTCTCGATCGTAAATGGTTTGTTCGACGGGAAAGCCTTTCGAATTTTGGGCAGTTGGGATATAACTGGCGACATTTATCTTGTCGTGAAGTTTTAAACAACGCTAGTAAAACATAAATCGTACAACGCTAGTAAAACATAACATCAATACTACGTGTTACATATGAAACATGAAATAAACAAACAAGGAAATTGTTAACAATCAAGACCATTTGCAATTTGTTAAATTAACACGTTCAGAAATTCAATCGGAACTTCTTCCAACTGAACTTTCTACAACCATCAATCCTTCGGCTCGTAGAAAAATCCCTGCAATTATACCATGACCCATCTCCGTGCTTGCTCGTTCATCGTTCTCGCGGAAACAACAACAATAAGACCGTGGCTTCCCGCGAATGAAGCGGCCGGGGGATGGCTAGTATCGGCAGATAGACGAGATTATTTCCGCGAGGGCAAAAGAAAAAGTACGTGTCGAAGACCCCGGAAGGAGCGATTCTACGTGCGCGCGACTGGAAAAAGGATCTTTCGCGTACGCCCACGTAGAACGGTACAAACCTCCATCCACATCTAGCGGGATCCAGCGTATACGAGGACACGACGAGAAACCGGGCGTTCGTTTAACACCTATAGATCGACCTGGTGAGGACAGAGAAAGAGAGACAGATAGACAGAGAGAGACAGAGAGAGAGAGAGAGAGAGAGAGAGAGAGAGATAGGCTGATGAAGAGAGAGAGAGAGAGAGATAGAGAGAGAAGTGGAAAGCAGAGGGATGACAGGGCATGAGAGAGCAAGAGAGAGAAGCGCAGAAACGGTTCTCTGTTCGGGGGTGGTTTTCGGTGTGCGAGGGGCTGGTCCGACCGATGGAAAGTCCTGAGGGATGAGGGAGGAGGTTGCCAAGGCAACGCTCTGCCAGCCTCGGCTTACTTTAGCTCTGCTCGTGCACTCGGATCAATACAGCATCACTGTGAGTTCCCGGACCAAACACACCCCCTCGACGCCCGCCACCCTCTCACACTACCTGTCCCCCCCCCTCTTCTTCTATCTCCTTCTCTTCGTTCGTCTCGTATCACGCTGCTCCCTCGATCTTCTCCCTTTCGCCAACGATTCCTCTTCTCTTCTCTCGCTTCGTTTCTCGATTACCCTCCGGCTCTTTTCCTCTTTGTTTCATCGTCTGCTCGTTCCTCGTTCAACCTACCCCCAGCTTCGCTCGCTCCTCTTTTTCCTTCTCTTTTATTCGCTGAATGTACGTACCTTTCTCCCTCTCCCTCTCCCCCTTTCTCTCTCTCTCTCTTTCGGGGCTTATGTGACTCGCCCTCCTCTCGTTTTATCTTCGTCTCACCTTCGCCGTCGTCTATTTCGTCGTCTCCCTCGTCCATCAGCCAAGTTGCCTCTGTCCGGCCGTAGGCTCTCGGTGCAGTGATCGCAAAAATTATCGCGCCGTTTTCGGTAGGTCATCCACGAAAACAATCAGGAGAGCTCGGTGTAACGACGAGACGCGGTTAATTAGTGATTTACCGACGGAAAGAAAAAGCCTCGCGATCTCAGACGAGTTACGTTTCGTCGATTTAAAATCTCTCCGTATAGAAACGATGTATGGATTTGCATTTCTTTTTTATCATTTCCTCGATACTACATCGGCGGAGGTTATAAATATCTTGACCTTAACTGGTTTCATTCACTGGCCCCATCATCGTGTGCATTTTTTTCTTCTTTTTCTTTTTTTTGCCGATTACAGCAAATGTTAACCTTTCGATTCTTTTTTTAAATATTTCTATATTAGAAAAAGATAATCTTCGTATCACGATTGTCTAGTTTCCCTAATCAGCGTTTCTTTTGACATTTACAGAATATTTTTAAAAATCCACCGACAGCAAGTGCGCAGACCCGCGGCATCGACGTTCAACAACCGTTCGAATCCTGTCCATCTCTCAGAGAGAATATCTTTTCTCGTAGCATCGACGTGCAAGTAGACCCGCCTAAATTGCTCACCCAGTAATCGAAACGAAATTCCTGACCACGATTTTCGAATGCCAACGTTTCGAGATGGAAGCAACCCCCGGACACGTACACCCAT